GCATAACTCGTGCTTGTCCGCTGGTAATGCGCTGTAGCGTGCATCGGTGATCGTGTTCCTCGCACGACGTGATGTGCATCTCACGCCTACGTGTTGCTCTCTCAGTCAGCCAGGGAACAGTGACTGTAGTATATCACACGTATACATGCTACCATCGACTAAGATTCACTTCTACGATGGTAGATGGCGCAGTTGTTGTCTATATATGCTAGTATTTATCACCTCTGTACACGCCTCTGATGACGATGACGACGACGAAGTCTTATTGTAAAAAAATAAATTATGTAAATTGGTTACACGAAACGTTTATGCGTTGTTGGAATTCTTTCTCTCTGTGGATCTTATGTTGCGTGGATGTTATGTTATGTTAGTGAGTTGTGTGGTGTCTCAGTGTGAATTCGTTCGAACAATGGTTGTGCCAACCCTCATTCTGATTCATTCATATCATTTTATTTGTTGTTTATCATTTATCTTAATACATTTTCTTAATAACCATTTCTCTACCTAATAAGTCATCTTATCATATTTTTTTCATTTGCTTTTTGTATTTTATTATTAATTATATTTTATGTATTTTATTCGTTATTAATCTTTTTTAAATTTCTAATATTAAAATATGTGAATATTATTAACGGACACATATTTACATATTTTAATTAAATTTTTACTTCTTTTAATTGTTGTATATATTTCTATTTAACACATCCATCCATGGTTCTGAACAATCTATCCACCGTGTGTCATACATCCGCTATGATAGACGAGTTCTAAAAGCACGTTCTAAAAACTAAAACGGAAAGTACTCCAGACGGAAAAGTAAATTCTATTTCATTTCTATTTCGTTCTTTAAAGTTTTCACGTTAAGTTATAATGTTTATTATAATATATAAATAATAATTGTTATTATTATTGTGTGCGTGCGTGTGTGTTCGTGCGTGCTTGTGTGTGCGTGTACGCGTGGTTGTGTGTACATGCGCATGCGTGTGTGTTCGCGCGTGTGTGCGTTTGTGCGTGGCTGTGTTTGTGCGTGTACGCGTGGGTGTGTGTAGGGGGTGAGGGGGCGGGCCATGTTCCATTACTGAGCATCGGAGCCGTGATGCGCATTGAATGATCGCAGATTCTCTTTCTCTCTTTCTCTCGTTCTAAAAGCTTTTCATTCTCATTCTCCGCCCTTCCTAAACCGTATCCTTTATCCTGATTTGTTAGGGAGCACGTGACCTGGTGGCTCCTTATACAGACTCTGCTTCTACTGCTACTGCTGCTGTTACTGCTGGTGCAGCTGCTACTGCTGCTACTACTGTTGCTGCTGCTGCTACTGCTGCTGCTGCTGCTGCTGTTGTTGTTGTTGTTGTTGTTGTTGTTGCTGCTGCTGCTGCTGCTGCTGCTGCTGCTACTTCTACTGCTACTGCTGCTACTGCTGCTACTATTGCTGCCGCTGCTGCTTCTATTTCGGACATGGTAGGTAATTACTGGGGCAAATTTTACGGGATAGGCCTCAGGGAGAGGTGCAGTGCAGGCAGAGGTGCAGTGGACTAGCAACAACACTCGACTTGCTTAGCAGAGAACGTGACGTCACCACTGTCACCGTCGTCACGTGGTCTCTGTCGCCCCCAGCACTGCATCAGACCCCTACAGCTAACAGCGGCGATGTAGGTATAACTGTATTATGTGATGGAAACACCAGCGCAACATGGCGGCAGCACGTGACGTCACCCCGGGTGTGGCACGAGATCACGTGACCGCACGAACTCAAACATAACTCAGATCTGAACGTTTGTCGCAGCGCACGCACGCGCGAAGAACTCTCCGCCGATAAAATGTAGTTCCAGACGAATACGACAAATAATGCGCTATTTTTATTCACGTTGATATTTCGAAGCGGTTATTCTAAACAAATATAATTGTGGTCGTCGCACGAAAACATGAATACAATGTTTCACACGAAATCGTCAAAATGAAAACAAGAGCCCAACATGGCGGCAGCACGTGATGTCACACAGCCCCGATGACGTCACCATCCCAGCTTAGGTCGTGGTTGGATTTGTGTCGGAGGATTTGTGGAGAAGGAGAGAAGCATGTAGGTACGCTGTTTCCTATTTACTGTACGGTGTCTCTAAGTTGGTGGTGTTTTATTTACATGTTTGTTTTTGTTTATTTCTTTACTCAACGGGTTAATAATTCATCTGTCACGGCATCCACCCTATAAACGTGATGTCACGTGTCAAATTATTAATAAAAGAATAAAATTAACCAGTGCTGGCTACAACAAGAGTATGCCTTAATGCGAAATATGAGTATTCAGTAACCACATTCTCCCCGCAGTGTCACGTCATAGAAATAGAGGATGGCGTCATATTTTGAACACGTGACAACGTTCTAAAGGTAAGCTCGCAGACGTAGTGCCGTGCGATCGGGAATCGAAGTCAAACTCAGAAGATCTCCAAGAGCGTGTCACGTCCCAGCAGCGAAAAGATAACTCAGGGCAAAGATCGATCCTGCTTGTCGCGCCATCTGCGTGCGCTTTTGACATGTGCTTGTATTTGTGAAAAGCCACAAAACTCTTAAATTCTATACAGGACGGAAATAGACCGCGAAACAGCAAGCCGTTAAGAGTTATAGAGCTCGATTTTATACAAGTTACAGACTCTGTCAAGGTCGGTGAGAAATCCAAACAAAAACCTCGAACGAAACTCTCTCTGAAGCGCGTTAACCCTGCGTGCCGTTGCCATGGCAACGCAGGACGCGTCACTATCTGCTGTAGAGCAACGGAATTTACGTCGTTAATAACGCCGCGTGACGTGTTTGTGTCGGGTGACTCTTTTTTAGTTTGATTTTGTTCAAAGTAGTTTGTTCAACGTCGAGGCAGATGACATGTATATGAATCCGGAAAGTAATGCATTAGTTTTACGGAAACAAAAGAGCATCTTACAGTCGATATTGTTCTCAGGTCAATGAAATTTTCGAAATGCG